GGGGGATAGCGAAATGCAGTTTTTGATGAGTCTGCATCCTTTCCTGAAACAAATACCCCCTGCTCGTCAGCTGGCAGTGTGAGCCAATATAATGCACGCTTTGATAAATGATGGGGCCACTTCGCAATATTCACCGAGGTCCAACGTACACGGTCCTACAAAACACATCTCCAACCCCTACACCATCTAATCAGCAGGGACTTAATGCATTTTTAAAGATTTTGATCCTGTACTTGTTCATCCCCTAAACAATGAAGATGTTCACTAAATTTGTAGGTGTGGTAATAGAATGTAATTTAGTTAANTTGATAGAGAATTGATCCCGGCTACATCAGCTTCAATACATATTCCGGTAGCCTTATCTGATAAAACTGAAGTGGCTACAACAGTCAAACCTGGTTCATCCATTGGAACAGCAGTTATGACAGCTTTATCAAATAATGTATCTCATACAATGTCATTAAGAGATAGGGTCGGTGTACCAATTATAGCCATTGTTCCAGTTATAGCTACTTTCCAGGTTTTTGCCTCATACCTAAGACATGTGCTTTAACTGCCTTCGNGTGTTTCGATCGAACTATGCGATCTTCATCTGGCACGACTAGAGACAAAGTAAAAATAAGTTTCATTATCATATCAGCTAATTACAAAAAACAAATAAATTAAAATCAAATTTACCGTCAAGAGTTGTTGATTGAAGAACAAATCATCAGGTTGAAATATGTGACAGTAAAATTTGTACGGTTAAAACTAAAAACGTCAAAGCAAATGGGTTAATATTAGTAAGTAAAACAGGTTAATACTCTGGAAAAGACAACTTACTTAGCGTCAAATTAAATAAAACTATCACTAAAACTATATTTTTAAAAAATACGAAGATAGAAGGAGCTAAAATTAAAAATTAAAAATTCTTTAGTTTAATCGTATGGAATTGACGACAGGGCAGCTGTATGATTGACAAGAAAGGACCGATTGTAGATGGAAATTTTCTGGTTTTGACGAGATTTATAATCGCATGCGCGTTTGTAGGAAGAGAAAACAGGACAGGCAGTAACAAGAAATTCAAANGTTCTAATTTTAGTTTAATTCACACCGGCCGTGAAAGCCTTCGTACTTATATTATGTGGTTGCGTTTCCAGTCCGGTCGTGTTTTCACTAAATCCTTGTCGGTTTGCTTAAGAACACAGGTAAGTAACAAATTGTATAATTAATGTCTGGTAATATTGGCACTATGTAAATGTTTGTCTGTACATTTATATCTTGTTTGTGCTTATAAAGATACGTTTATTTAGTGATTTTTGTTCACGAGTGTCTATAAATTAAAAGTGGCTATATATAGAACACATAAAATATTTTTCCATGTATAATCACTTAGATGGCTATATTTAGACAAATGTTGTGCCAATTTTAGCCAGGATATGGCTATATTTAGACCATTGATGTATCAATTATAGCCAAGTTAGTTTTTAGCTTTGGTATTTTGTTGAGAATGGCACTATTAAAAAAGAAAAAGAAAACAAAGGAAAATATTAATAGATCAATGCAAAGAAATAAAGGTCCTATTCATCAATACTCTTCAGAACAACTTGCACGCGCACTTCAAGCAGTAGAGCAAGATGGAATGGTTGTGACACAGACCAGTAGTAGTTTTGCAGTGCCTAGAACAATTTTGCGTGACAAGTTAAGTGGTAAAACTTCAGCATAGATGGAAAAAGTTGGAAAAAAGTGTTTTTAGCTAAAAATAATAGATAACCACTGATTAAAAACTAAAAACAACATTGTTTCTGTAAAGAAACTACAAGTTTACTTGGACAGCAATGTTTATAGCCAATCAATGTCAAATAGTAGCCCATGTTTTGGCAGTTTGATTCCTATATTATTTCTAGGTAAGGATATTGTAGATCAACTTGAACACTGGATATTGACAAACGCGAGCCATGGATTTCCAGTGAACAAGGAAGGACTAATGTATTGTGTTCAGCAAATATTGGAGAAGAACCGTCTAGACACTGCTTTCACAAACAATAAACCAGGAAGGAAATGGTTCGAATCCTTTTTGAAACGTTATCATCGAATAAGCCAAAAACATTCGACTCATTATTCTTGAAGATCAACTTGAACACTGGATATTGACAAACGCGAGCCATGGATTTCCAGTGAACAAGGAAGGACTAATGTATTGTGTTCAGCAAATATTGGAGAAGAACCGTCTAGACACTGCTTTCACAAACAATAAACCAGGAAGGAAATGGTTCGAATCCTTTTTGAAACGTTATCATCGAATAAGCCAAAAACATTCGACTCATTATTATTGAAGATCAACTTGAACACTGGATATTGACAAACGCGAGCCATGGATTTCCAGTGAACAAGGAAGGACTAATGTATTCTGTTCAGCAAATATTGGAGAAGAACCGTCTAGACACTGCTTTCACAAACAATAAACCAGGAAGGAAATGGTTCGAATCCTTTTTGAAACGTTATCATCGAATAAGCCAAAAACATTCGGCTTATTATTCTTGGTTCATCAGCTTAGTTTGCCGAAGTTCAAGAGGTTCAATTGAAGACAGTGAAGTTTTTAGTCACACAGAAAGAGTCTGGATATACATATATTATATACATATATCTGAATATACATATATTAGAATTATTAATCGTTGCACTTCTTTTTCAAATCATTACATCTTTATATAGTAGTTTTCAATCAATTAAATTCTCAATTTATCAATAATTTCAGTTTAGATTAAGTATGATGGCTAAATATAGTGCATACACCAGGCTATGGATGGTGATCAAGTGGCTATAATAGGAAAAGTTTTTCCTTTTTATGTTTTTTGTTGAATTTACGTTTTATTTTCTTAATACTTTTCCACCAATGATCGCAAAAAAACTATATTATCTATCATTAAGAATCATAGCACCTAATGACAATTTAATTCTTTGCAAAATACAAGGCATGGAATTCAAAACAATCCTTAAACTGGCTATAAATGGTACATCGACCCTACATATGTCAAAAAATATCCTGAATTGCCGATACAAATGCAAAAAGCAAAGAAAATGAAGAAAAAAGGAAAAGGTATATTAAAAAATGGAAATAAATTACAATTTATTTCCATTAATGGTATAATGACCGCATTTAACAATACTTTGATGCTATCTCCGAAATTCTTAGTAATGCTTACTGCAACTATAACAATTTTTTAGAATTCATTAAAACACAAAAACGAAGCACAAGCTCTACAGTGATTATACTATTCATCATTTTTGCAACAGTATTGTAGGAATGGTGTGGAAAATAGCTTATATTTGAACTGTGGCTATACATATATTAAAATCTAGTCATAAAATACAAAGTAATATTATTGACTGCAACACGAACTTAACATTCTTATTCACACAACTAATAGGGGCTTATGGATGTATTGAAGAATGAAATTCGTGCTTGAAATGTCAAAAACAACAAGTATTTCATAAAATAGCAATTCCCATTCCAAATTTAAATATTGTATGGAATTACAATTATTCAAACCTTGAAGAATCAATTAATAGCTATTTACAAACAAAAATATACCTATGTCTTAAAGGTGGAAATAATGCAACTAGAAATTACCTGTTGGGGCCATATCTGTGGATTGACACTTCGACACTGAGGATGCATACAAAAATTCAAGCTATGCGAAGTCCTTAAATATGGATAAATCAAGATTCCACACAAGACTAGAAGACATTCCAGTATACACAAAGTACGCAAGGAGTGGGCTACGTAAGCTCTCCATAACTTGAGAAAATGGCCTTTTTAATATTATTGTTACTGACGGTTTTCATGACTTTATATGCATCTTACACTTGATCCACTAATACTGATATATTTGTTGGTGCTGCACGTTTGCGGGGGTTTTTGTCACGCGACTGCAATGCCTGTGGTTCGTGCGATATTTCTTTTACTGGTTGTATCGGAGTTCCTTGTGTTTCGGAATCCAAATCGTCATCCATTTCCTGAAATAATTACAAATTATTGATTGAATTAATTTAAAGACTGTTTTAGATTCCCCGAAACGAAAAAGAGTGGCGTAACGTAGCAGCCAATTTTGAATCGAGATGGAACTATCCTAATTGTATTGGCGCCCTGGATGGCAAACACATACATATTCAGGCACCAAACAACACAGGAAGCCTTTATTTAAATTATAAACATAATTTTAGTATAGTTTTAATGGCTTTCTATGATTCAAACTATATTTTTTTGTACTGTGACGTTGGTGTGCACATATTGCTGATGGCGGAGTTTTTAGTAGTACTGATTTTTATAGTGCTCTCCAAAAAAATAAACTTAATTTGCCACGTGCCAGGTGCCTTCCAACGAGAGAAGTAGATGTACCATTTGTGATAGTTGCAGATGATGCTTTTGCGCTTTCTGAGAATGCGATGAAACCATTTCCTGGTAAACATTTCAAGGGATCTGTTGAAAGAGCGTATAATTATCGACATTTTCGTGCGCGAAGAGTAATTGAAAATGCGTTCGGAATTTTATCCGCTGTTGTTAGAGTTCTGAGAAAACCCATGCTACTCGCACCAGAAAAAGCAACACAAGCTGTATCGTCTTGTGTTTATTTACATAATTTTCTCAGAAATCGAACGAGCAGGAATATCTACTCTCCACCATCAACGTTTGATGGAGAAGATGATAATGGAAACTTGATTCAGGGAGAGTGGAGACGTGACAATATTGAACTTGCTGGTCTAAGAAACTGTGCAAGAAAACATACATACATAGTCACTGACAATTAGGCTGGTCTCACACTGGAACCGACTACGTACGAATTTTCCGGACTATGTGAATATAATGAGCGCTCTCACACTGGATCCGAGTCGGTCGTGGAAATACGTACGTTTACGTCAGACCTGCGACTCGATCCCAGAAAGCTCGGATATTTGTGCGATCGTGATACGACTTGTTCAGTATTTTGTTCATGTAGTGAAGATTTTTTCTTAGTAAAATGGACACGGAAAAATTAATTCTTCTAATTCAAGAAAGAGAATGTTTGTGGAACCAGAAAAATGACAATTACCATAGTAGAGATGATCAACGACGTAGTTGGAACGAAGTTGCCGAAGAATCAAAGATGAAAGGTGCGTATATAAATTTTGTATTAATTTTTAATAATAAATTTACGTCAAGATACATGAAGGAACCTACTTATGATTATACTGATTATACAAACAATTAATTTACAAAGGATTGTTAACAAAAATAATCTTGAATTATTCTCGAATATCATATGCTCTTCTAGCAGCACGATTTTCAACCAAAGTACCTACTTGCTCTATTAGTGGCTAGGTTCTGTTGAGAGCAGTTGGGTGTGGGCACGAAATTCAAAGGTATTCCCTCTCTATCACTAACAATGTTATTTATGAAGCAAACATATGCATTTAATGATGGAATCAGCTCGTTCGGGCTCAACTTCGATGGCTTTAGTTAACAGTCTCCACTTGCTGGCCATTATGCCAAATGCACATTCAACGACCTGTCTAGCCAATGATAAACGCCCATTGTAAATATCTTCTTCATTTCCTGCTTTCTTCCGAGGGTAGGGGCGCATTAGGAATGTTTTTAAAGGGTAGGCCTCGTCTCCTATCATTACATGAGGTAAAAACAGTTCAGTACCAGGCAATTGCCGCTCAGACGCAACATTGAGTGAACCATTTTGTAACTTTCTTGACAAATTTGAATTCGAAAATATTCCACCGTCTTCTATTGCTATAAATCTATAGTCTGGACCAACAACAGCTTGCAGAACAATAGAAAAAAATTGCTTATAATTATAGTGTAAGCTGCCTGAGTGTGAAGGTGCTTTAATACGAATATGTTTCCCATCGATGCGATGGAACCTATACAATTTGGGAACTTCCATCGCCTCCAAAATCCTTCTGTAATGCTGATGGTCTCTTCATTTGTTTTCAGTTTTCCCCAAATTGCCTTGCTTTGAAAGATGATCCTGTGGCCAAATATCTGAAACAATTTTTTTTTTAGTTGAAGAACTGAAGAAGAAATGGAGAGGTCTAAGAGATATATTCAGAAGGGAATACAAAAAAACTACCACGCATAGGTCTGGTGACTCAGGAGAAGAGTACATCCCTAAATGGCCTTTTTATAAAATACTGTTTTTTCTCAAAGATACAATAACTTCAAGAGACTTGAAATGTAGCGTTCCTGATGAATCAGAGTCCGACCTTGTGCGTGATTGTCCCACAGAAGATGATAGTGAATCCAATCACCATCAACCATCACAAGTTAGGTCACCATCACCACAAACCCAAATGCCACCAATCTCTCGACATGTTTTCAAGTCACCGCCAAAGAAGGTAGCCAAAGGGCCGAAGCACCCATCTAATTTCGACGAGAAACTCCTCCAAATCGAGGAAGTTCATCCTCACTAGGTCCAACGTACACGGTCCTACAAAACACATCTCCAACCCCTACACCATCTAATCAGCAGGGACTTCATGCATTTTTTAAAGATTTTGATCCTGTACTTGTTCATCCCCTAAACAATGAAGATGTTCACTAAATTTGTAGGTGTGGTAATAGAATGTAAGCTTAAAGTTAAGTTGTTTCTGTTAAATATATAATAAGTTTTAATGTTTTGTTGTTTATTAATGACTACTCACCTCAGCGTAACAGCCAAACGCTCTTCAGGTGATATCACTCGGCGAAAGTTGCTGTGTTTTGTCAGCTCAGGTTTAACTTTTTCCAGAATATAGTTGAACGTGTCCAAACTCATACGGAAGTAGTCGAAGAATTTGTTGGGATGATTCTTCAAATCATCCATTAAATGGTGAAACTCGCCATGCTCTTCTCTCTTCATGAATATATGGTGAACCCATTCTGTTCTTCTTGAACGTCGTCTTCTTCGCCTCAGCAACAAACTACTACTTTCAAGCAGGTGAAACAACCCATTCATCTTTAAATACCCACAAATTTAAGACAAACTGGATCAAAATTCAACAGAACCACTTCCTGTGAACTAACGAACTGTGGATTTACGACTCCGACAAGTATACTCTAATGTAAGAGCTCAAGTCGTACGACTAAGTCGACGTTAGTCGTCCACAGTCTGTAGTCGTACGTAGTCGGTTCCAGTGTGAGACCGGCCTTAAACGTCAACAAAAATTTGGTAAAATATTTTCAAAATAATTTAAAAAAGAGTTTGGAAATAAAAATAAGTTCATATCAAAAATAAGTTTCTAAAATAAAATTAAATTGAGTTTTTAATAAATTTGATGTTTGGGTTGCCCATAAAAACATCCCATTCCCAACCCATAAAAATAAAGCCATGTAATTATATTAAAATTGAAATCATTTCTTTTATGACGATTATAAAGGTAATAAAGTTATTAAACAAGCGTTGTTCGATGATTTCTAAAAGTATTTTGTTTAAAAAATAGAACAAAGTTGGTTTTTATATTTAATTTATATTTAAAACGTATACAATTTCAAATATCTTTTTAATTTAATAGGAGAAACATTTTATCTTAATAAATTTTTGTTCGCTTTATTCGTTTTAATTAATTATAATGAAGTTAGTTGCATATTTTTTTGACATAGTGAATTTTTGACACATTGGATACGTTCTTTATACTTAATTTTTAATTTTTTAAATTAATAATTTTTGAATAAAATCATTAATAAATTAATCATTTAATCATAAAAAAATCGATCAATTAAAATTGATTTATCCCCGAAGTTTTTTTTAATTGTCAATTTTATGATTGACATAAAACTTTATGACATAATTTATAACCTTGAAAATAAACTTTTTAAATTATTAAAAGTGATTTATTTACATTCAATTTATTCCTTCCAATAACATCAACAAGGAAGAGAAAAAAATAATAATAAAGATCCCAAAGCAGCATTTTTCGTAAATCTCAACTTTTCGTCGCTTTCACCTTTATGTTTATAATTAATAAGTTTACGTATTCTCGGTTCGTCGAAAAAGTCGGTGAAAAAATCGCTTCCAACCCAAAAACTTATCTACTTAAGGGACAAATTTAAAGGTTGAAATATTTATTCCTTCTTTTCCCAGCAAAATAACTCGAAGAAAAAAAAGTTTATATATTTAAGAAATTTAACATTTCCCTTTTTAACGCATTACACTTGAACAACTTTTCTAACTCTAAATTAATGATTAATAAATTAATTTGTTTAATAAAACACAATACATTCTCGAACACATTTTCCGAATCCATTTTCCCACTAAATACTCATTTATAAGGATTCATTCAATTTCGGCCTTCGATTAAACAATCATTAAAGCGATAATAACACTAAATATTCATAAAACGTTTAATCATATCAAGAATTTTAATTGAAAATTATTATAAATTCATAACCTAATAGTTTATTTTCGTGTAACATTTAATATCTATCGTTTCCGGATCGATCTCACAATATATTAAGCAGTTTCTTACGCCACAGAACGTGATCGAGCGTGTAACTCGGGGTTTGTCGTCCAAAATTGGTAAAAGACTCCCTTTTGAAGGGCGAATCGTTTGGAATTCGACAAGTGGTGGGGTTATCGCCGGAAACTACTTGCTTTCAAAGGATATGGGGAAGTTCTCAAAGGTTTACAAGGTAAACATTAAGATAAAGGTTAAAGATATTTTTAGATATCGACTAAAAAAAAGGCCATTTTTGTCTTATTCGATTGATTTTAAATGTTGTTTCACATTAATTAATGAATCTTTTATATCTCGACAGAAAGAACTGGTTGATTTACAACGAAGAGAACTAAAATAACATCTTGTAAACGCGAGGGTGTATTTAATTATACTCGCAATTAATCCCATTCAACTAAGATCGAAAACGTGGGGTGTCTCTTATAAATTAAGTTTGGAATTTCCTTTACCTGGGGTACAACCTCGATTTATTTTTATGTTTGTATTTTTATGTTATTCATCCAAGACGTTTTTAGCTAATTATAGGAGTATATTTTCATTTTCTTCAGCGGTAACTGTCTAACTAACTGCGGCAGGTGATTGTTAAATTTCGTGCCCCAGTAGTCAGCGTTCTTTTGTGTCTACGCTAAGCGCACTGAGAGAAATAGATTGTACGAATCGTATTATAGAAAAAAATATTATACATGCAGCAATTCATTAAAAGTGTAATTAAACATGGATTTTTAACACATGCGTTAAATAACGGCACAGTAAAACTGAATCTTAATTCGGAAGAAAAGTACAGAGAAGGTTGCGATGGAGACTATGCTGAACGTGCTGCCCCTAGATATTTTTATCAGGAAGATGGCGTTGCTTCGATTGCGATCAGTAAATGATAAGCACAGACTATATTACACCTACTTTCCTAGGCAAGCCACACTTTGGCATTGAAACGATACCCCAGAGCAACTCAAGCTCGGGCAAAACGCTGACCATCTACACTGATGGATCAAAGAAGGCTGGAGGTTCCGGAGAGGGAATTTCCTTTCACGATCTTCAGCTGCACCTTTCCACTTCCTTAGGATCGTATTGCACGACTGCTCAAGCCGAATTAACTGCTATAAACATAGCAGCCGATGCGATCATCGACTCCAAAAAAGTCGGCAGAAACGTTGTAATCTACACTGATAGCAGACATGCTATGCTGGCGGTTGGTAGGGACCAAACTACATCATCGTTGGTGAAGTCCTGTCGGCAATCACTCGAAGAGGCAAGCGTATACAACAACGTCACGATAAAATGGCGAAAAGGACACATCGGAATTAAAGGACATGATCTTACTAGCTGTAAATACAGCATCAAAGCTGCTAAACTCCATCTCCCATCGAGCTTTTTACGACAGATGGGATGGGACAGCAGCAAGTGTCTTTGCTAAGAAAACTCTGCTTTACCCTGACCGGAAGAGAACTGCTCAGTTTCTGGAAAAATCAAAAAGTGACTTGAGGCTTCTCACGCACTTCCTGACCGGACACTGCAGGTTACGTAAGCACATATTTTACATGACTCTGGCGAATGCACCCCTCTGTAGAGGGTGTGAAATGGAAGACGAGACGGTAAGCCATATTGTTTGTGACTGTCCCAACCTCCGTACTTAAAGGAGTCCATTTTCGGAGTACTATGGCTCCAAATTTCGGATATAAGGAACATACCTTTCTGTTCTATATTAACGTTCATGAAAAGATTGGGCTGGCGCGCTGGTACCTAAGTGCTGTGAAAAAACTCACCCCCACGTGAAACTACATACATACTTCACTTCAATGCCGTTGGAAGCGACCTTCTTGGCATAAATACAATAAAAATGTCGTGTCTATTCTTATTGGATATGATTACGCATATCGTTAATTCAAGTCTCTTGGAAGCCGTTTTCCCTGAGTGTTGGAAGGTTTCTATAGTCACTTTATTACCAAAAGTTAACTGATTTTAGACCTATAAGCATATTAACTGCTCTTTCTAAAGCACTAGAAAAAATAGTTTGTTCTCATTTACGTGAACACCTATAGCTTTATAACATCATACCTGATAATCAGTCAGGGTTTAGACCGGGTCATAGTTGTAATACTGTACTAATGGATGTTGTGGATGGTGTGTTGCGGAGTGCCAACAAGGGAGATATGCATGCAATGACATTATTAATTTTATCTTCTCCATGAATAACATTGATGATAAGCTTTATTTTTTTAATGAACAACTACTTAATGCATTTAATGTTTTTGCTCCACTCATTAAGGGTAAAGTTCATAAACGTCCTCCTCCATGGCTTACTGATAACCTGAAGCTAATGATTTCTTTAAGGGATAAAGCAAAGGATGACTATAGAAGGAATCGATCTGATGCTAAATGGGATTACTTTAAATCTCTTAGAAACTTAACGGCTTTCACTATTAAGGCGGAAAAAAGAGCATTTTTTCGGTATATTGGTAGCATTCGGGACAAAAAATTAATGTGGGGTAAGCTTGATTCGCTTAATTTAAGAAAGAGGACGCAGTGTAATATTCCAGAGGCTTTGTGTAATGTTGAAGATCTGAATGACTTCTTTTTGAGGAGTGTTTCGGACATCACTGACAACTTACCGCCCAATCCTGCTATTTTTGAGTATTATTCTAATTTAAATGTTAACAACGAGAAATATTTTAAATTCAAATCGGTATCAACTGATGTAGTAGACAAATTGATCTATAAATTGAAGTCTTGTTCTGAGGGCAGTGATGGGATTCGGGCGGATATGATTAAACTGGCGTGTCCTGTTATTTTACCTTATCTTACACATATTGTTAACTGTTGCATCGTTGAAGGTCATTTCCCGAATTGCTGGAAACACGCTATAATCAAGCCTATTCCTAAAAATCAAAACCCATCAAGTTACACTGACCTTAGACCTATTAGTCTGCTTCCTACTTGTTCGAAGATCTTGGAAGGGATATTGAAGTATCAGTTGAATG